CAGAATGTCCTCGTGCTGGGCTGCCTGAGGACCCACTTCTCTCCCATCTCATGGTTGGTGTTTGCAAAGACCAGGAGAGATGCCCCCAGGGCCTCACCCCTCAGCCTCCTCCAGCCTTCAGGAGCCTGGCTCGGCCTCTCCACCCACCCTGCCCCTCACTGAAGTCTCACTCAGCTCCAGCTCCCAGACACCTTCCCTCCCTGAGACCTCCCCCTCTCTCGGCCCCTCCCGGGAGCTCCCCAGGAGGGGGACACTGGAAGGTTCTGAAGCAACACGAGTCCTTGCTCAGTTTGGAAAGGCCCAAGCGGGCTCACCGGATGCCTGCCTAGCGTTTGGCAAAGGCCTGCCCTGCCTGGCACCACTCTGCTTTGTGGCACACGCATGTGCCCCCAGCCAGGACACGACTCTGGGCTCTGGTCCCCATCCTCAGGGGACCATGCCCTCCATAAAGCCGTCATCACATCCTCAGGGCCTGGCCTCTCCTTCCATAAATGGCCCTACATCTGGAGACCTCCCAGCCCAGGGGCCAGGAGGGGGCCCTGGGACTGTGGTCTAGACCCTCAGCCCCTGCCAGGGAGGAAGAGATCGCACTGCAGGGTTGGGTCCCTGAGCTCACGCTGAGCAGGAGGGATGACTGTGTTTCCCCCACGGTTCGCACCAGCGACACAAGGCCCCTGGCCCCCCACACTCACCTGTCAACCCAGGGCCCTGCACCCTTCCTGGAGGAGTGGGACACCCACGCCCACGTCCGTTGTTCAGAGCCCTCGGAGGCTCCATGGCTTCTCCTTAATGGCAAAGTCCCCCACTTTTCGGCAGGAAAGCCAACACCCCCCACACCACCTCGCCCTGGCTCCCAGCTCTGCACTCCCCCCTCGGCCCCTGCTCCCACACCACGACCTTTGCAGCACCCCCACACATGCCCCGGCCCTACAAACACAACCTGGCCTTCAGAAGCAAACGCTCCCTCCTCCTGCAGCCTTCCTGGGCACTGGCCCTCTTCTCCCCTTCCTCCCGCTGAGGCCCTGCAGCTCGGAGCCTCACAAGCACCCTGCTAAATCCCCCCAGAGAACAGTCTGAGCTGGAGGAGGCCTGAGGGGCCGCTGGGACCGGTCCTTCCAGGACTCTCCCAGGGGCTGCCCGGCGGGGCGGAGGAGGGGTGCCTGGGACATGAGGAACCAAGTCCAGCCCCAGCTTCACCCCTGAGGAACACTGGACACGCCCACTTCTCTCCCAGGGCGGGAGAGGGTTGATCCGAGTCTCCACCGCGGACCCACACCCAGGACTGTTAGTCTGTGGAGTGTTCACTGGACGTTCGCTGGGCGCCTGTCTGCAGTCCAGCGGGAGCACGGAGGTTGGCGCACGGCGTTAGTGTGACGCAGACTAACAGAAGCACACGGATGCAACGTGACCTTATCGCCCACCCCTGCCCTCCCCCTCACGCTCCATCCATCCCCCTGTGCACCTACCCACCCGCTCATTACCCAGCCACCCCCTCACCCGCCGATCCACGGCCCACCAAGCGCCTAAAGCTCTTGGCCTGGGGGGAGGGAGACACAGAGGCACGAGCAGGCGTCAGGCCTTTGGGGGACCCTGTGGGGCAGGGGTGTCTGGCAGTGTGGCAGGGGGGCCAGCCCCCCAGCGTCCCCTTCTGCTTCACTGCCGCCCAGTGCCGCTCCTGCTCAAGTTGATGAGGGGCCGGCTGAGGGGTGAGGGGACCCCTCATTTAGAGTCCTACCTTGCCCGGGGCTGAGACCTCACAGGCCCAGCTGGGCATCCCAGGAAAGGCCCGGTGCCCCCCGCCCCGCAGCCGCAGGTGTTCACGGGCATTAGTGGGGGCGGGGCGGTCGCTGCGGCTTGAGACAGCCCCCAGCTTTTTCCAGTCCCGGGTTTTATTGACTCCTAGGGGCTGCCAGAGTTATAAATAGCCGTTCTTAAGCTAAAAATAGCCTCGCTGGAGTCAGACCAGCTTCCAGCGTCAGCCTCTGTGAGGACTCAAGGATGCAGGATTCAAGGCCCTTACCTCCTCCGCAGCCCCCAGGAGGGGCCGGACAGGCCCCCTTCCCCTCTTCCTCCAGTCTCCTGAAGCGCAGCGTGCACACGCACGCACACGCACGCACGCACACGCACGCGCACACGGGCTGGCTGGAGTCGTGGTTGGGAAGGGTCCCTGGGCGAGGCAGGCTGCGGCTGAGGAAGCCGGGTGAGCCGAGCACTGCGGGGCGCGGGGCTGAGGACACAGCTCTGCGGGGAGCCCGCCTGGAAGCCTGGGAGGGTCCCTGGAGTTGTGCCGTCACACAGCAAGCGCTCGGTGCGTAGGAGCTGTGGTTGTCGTAACAACCGAGCAGATGTTGAAGTGACCCAGAAAAACCATGTTTAAAAACCCATCCATGGGAATGGCACGAGGATGCTCGCGCTGCGTGGTTGCGACTCTGGGGCACACCGCACGGCCGGGTCTGCAGGCTGGGCCAGGGCTGCCTCCCGGAACGGAGCCCGGTGGCTGGGAGAGTCCGTGCGGGTGCCTCCCGCAGATCCCTGGTGTGTTTCCGACCCTTGTGCCTCGTGCACACATTCAGCAGACAACATCTGAAAAGCTCGTTGCTGGAAAAGCCATGGTGTGGTGTGTACGCACACGCTGGTGCGCACACGTGTACACTCGGAGGTCTGCAGAGAAGCATGCAGCTGTCCACAGCGGGACTGTGGGGGAAGGGGAGGTGGTGGACAAAACTGAGTGTTTTATAGTTTTAAGTTATTTACGCTTACTAGCATGCAACCATGGAAAAGGGAGCTTCGCATCCTAGGGGTGCAGCTGAGAGCCTGCCCCCCCACCCCCACAATGCCTGGTCCGGCAGGGACAGTTCTCAGACCCGGCCCACTACAGGGCCCTGACACCCCTCCCTGCCTACCCCCTGGCCCAATCGGCCTGGTCCAAGGTTCCAGGCCCTGCACACCAGTCTTCTGACCTCAGGGAGCCGCCGCGCCGGCCCACTCCCAGCCCCTCCGCCCACCCCACAACAGTCTGAAGAAACAGGTAGCCAGAGGCCCGGGAAAAATGTCCATCTCAGGATTTATTACAACACATTGTTTCCAAAGACAAAAGGAGGGGACAGGCCTAGGACCTGGAAGTGTGGCCCCTGGGGGAGGGGTTCTGAGGCGGAAGGGGAGCGGGCTGACGGCTGGCAGCCCGGTCCACAGAGACAGGAGGCTCGGCTGGGGGGCCTGCCACCTCTCCTCTGCTGGACCTTCCAGCAAATAATAGGAAGGGGTGGGCCCTTGGGGGGCGACCCCAAAGCCGGGCAGTGGCCAGGCAGGGGTGGGAGGGGCCGGGAGGGCTGGCAGACTTAGCATCCCAGCCCTCTGTACCTGGAAGGGTGGGGGAAGCAACCTGGGACAGGCCCTTGCCTGGCTGCCCCGGCACACAAAGGAGGCAGCAGCCAAGGCAGGGCCTTCCCCCACATCTCGGCTGCCCCCTTCGGGGTGGCCCGTGCCTCACCAGCGAGAGCAGAGACGGAGCTCGACAGGCCCCACGTGCCCCAGGACAGGAGCCACAGCGATGCTGGCGGCCCTGGAGAAAGGGTGGGGGTCCGTGGGACCATGGGACCTGCACCCAGGGTTTTGGGACCCAACCAGTGGCCCCAAAACTGTCTCCCAGACAGCACAGGGGTGGGGGTGAGGGGGGAGCCAGTGCATCCTCCACACCCAGGGTCACCTCAGAAACCCAACGCAACAGACAGGAGGCAAATTTACATAATTAATAATAATAATTAACCAATAATAAATACTTAAACCTCTAATCCATAGATTGCAAATACAACAATGATAGCTTATTTTCTTGGGAACAGGAGTGGCTGGGACACAGGGAACAGGAACAGGACTTTTGCTTAAAAGAGGGATGACAGGGACAGAGGGCTGGGGTCAAAAGAACAAAGAGAAGAAACAGCTGGGGGCAGCCCCTCCTGCCCCGGCATCTCCGCAAGGTGACTGGCTGGGCCCACTCCTAGTCTCAGGACATCTGAAGGGCAGGGGACATCTGCCCTCAAAGCCTTGGGTCCCAATGACCCAGGCGGGTGCGGGGGAGGGGCAGCTGGGCTCTTCTCCTGCCCTCACTCCCAGGCTGACCCACCTGGGCCTACGTGGGCCCACCCGGGGGTGGGGGCTGGCATGTCACCTTGAAGATGCCGGGAGGACCCTGGGAAAGGAGTGTGGGGGGTTTCCTCTCCTAAGAGGCTCCCACGGTAGGGGAGACGGGGTCTTTCTCTGCCTTCAGATGGCTCTCCCAAAGTGCAGGACCCCGAGACCCTGGGAGGACCACAGGAAGGACTTCCCCGAGCAAGGCAGCACCTGCTCACGGAGGCCCCTCAACGTGCAGACGCCTGAATTCCAAGTCCCGCGTGGGGCTTGGGCTGGGAGAGCACAAGAGCCCAGGACGAGCCCTAAAACCACCCCTCCAACACCTGGGCCGGCAGCTCCCCTCTGACCAGTGGAGCCAGCACTGGCCAGCAGGGCCCTCCCGCCTGGCACCCCAGAGGCCAAGCCCCTTCCTGGCGGGGGAGGGGTGCCTCCCACCGGGCAGGGGGCTCTGGGACACTCCAAAGGAGAGGGTGGGAAATACCCTCCTAGGACTGGACCCTGCCCCCGCCCTGGGGACCCACCTCAGCTCACATTCAAGAGCCCCCTTGCCAAACACCCCCTCTGTCCTACTCCCAGCCCCTCTGAAACCTGCCCCATTGGGCCAAATGCCCATCCACACCTGCCAGGGAACAGAACAGCTCTGGGGCGGTGGGTGGCGAGGGTGCCCTCCGTGCCGCCAAGATTTGGTCCTGGAGCTGGTGGAGGGCTGGCAGTACCCTTCAGGGCACGCGAGCTCCCGGGGCCACCCCCAAACCTATGGCTTTGGTTCGGAGGCGCAGAGGAGAGGGAGGGGCCGAGAGGACTGGGGGTGGGAGGGAAGGGAGGTTCTGCGGCTCAGTTTGTGGCAAAGAAGTTTTTTTTTCCTTTTTTCCCCTTTTTCTTATGTAAAAAGTGCACAAAAGCTCCGAAAGCTCGGCAGCCTCTTTGCAAAGGTCAGCAGTGTTCCTGCGGGTGCGGTGGAGTCAGCGAGGGGACCCCAGCCCTGGCACCCCAGCTTGCGACTGAAGGTGGCCTCATATTGCTTAGAAACATGTTTCAGTTTAAATATCAGACAGTAAAAATAGAGCTCCGAGGACCACCCGGCACTGTTGCCAAATCATTGCCAGAATGAACAGCTTAAATAAATAAAAAAATCGAAATATTTACTTCTCGATAAAAATCGCAGTAAAACCATTTACCTTTCTTTGCATTATATATAATATATTTATAACGGCCCGGCTGCGGGCGGCCGAGCCGGGGCGCCGAGGGCGGCAGGGGCGCGGGGACCCGCGGGTCAGGACACCTCGATGACCTCCACGCTGCCCGAGAAGCTCGCCTGCTTGCCCAGGGCGGCCAGCTCCTCGCCGCGCGCGCGCCCCTCGGCCATGCCCTCCTCGAACTGCATCTGGCAGCTGCGGCGCTTGAACTGCGTCTCGGGGCCCGGCTCGTCGGGCCAGCCCGTCCGCGCGTCCCGGGGCTCGGCCCGCGCCGCCTCCCGCCGCCGCAGGTCCCCGCTGCTGCCGCCGCCGAAGGGCGCGAACCGCGAGCCGCCCGCGCCCTGCGCGCCCTCGGGGCTGAAGCACCAGGGCCCGTCGGGCGACGGCGTGCCCGGGGAGTCGAGCGGCGCCCAGGCCCCGGGGCCGGCCGGCTGGCCCGGGCCGGGCAGCCCCGGCGCCGACAGCGCCGAGAGGCCGTGCCGCGGAGTCTGCCGGGCCGCGTCGCCGAAGTTCAGGCCGAGGCCGTGCGCGGGGGAGCGCGCGGGGGAGCTGGCGGGGGGCCGGGGCCGCCTGCGGGGCCGGGGCCGCGCCTCGGGGGCCGCGTCCGGGCTGTCCGGGCTGGGCGAGGGCAGGCCCAGCGCGCCCCCGGACGGGCTGTCCAGCTTGCAGAGCTTCGGGGCCTCGCCGGGGTCGGGCGCGCCGGGGCCGTCGGGCCGCCCGCTCGGGGCGTAGGCCGACTTGATGTCCAGGGAGAAGGAGCGCTTGAGGCGGTTGGTGTCCTGGAGGCGATCGGAGGAGAGGTGCAGGCCGCGCAGGCCCTGCTGCAGCGCGCTGGTGGCCGGCGCCGCGGAGGGCGCAGGGGGCTCCCCGCAGGCGCCGGGGCCGCCGTCCCTGGCTGCGGAGGCCGCCGCGCTCCCGGTGGCAGCTCTCTCTGAGGTAGGTGGTGGCAGCTGCGGCAGCGGGGCCTCGGGCGTCCCCGAGTGGGGGCCCGCGTCGCCCTGCAGGGCGGCCAGCAGCTTCAGGCTGCGCTCGTACTCCAGCAGCTGGCCCAGGAAGTTGAAGTTGGGCGAGATGGACGGGCGCCGGTCCTTCACGAACCTGCGGGAGAGGGCGCCAGTGGGGAGGGGCTTCCGGCCAGGCCAGGCTGCCCACCCGGCTCGCCCAGCCCAACCCCGGCACACAAGCCGTTGAGTGCGGGCTGGGCTTAGGCCAGACCAGCACAGGTTAGGGCCGTTCTGGTGCCGCCAGGACCGCAGCCAACGCAAGGGGGGGTGTTGAGCCACGGGCGGGGGAAGGCGGTACCTGTACGCGTCGTCTGAGGACATGCCCATGGTCTTCATGATGTAGGCGATGGCGATGGTGGCAGAGCGCGAGATGCCGGCCAGACAGTGGACGATGACTTGGCAGCTGGACAGCTTGGCTTTGTCTGGGGGCAGGTGAGCCACAGCGACCAGGTGAGGGCTGGACCGAGCCCTCCCCGCCCTCCCGGCTGGCAACCGTCCGTGCTGCTCAGGGCCCCTCCCCGGCCTGAGAAGGGCCAGGCCGGCCCCTGGGGTGGGGAAGCAGCCCCTCCACCTGCCCCGCCTCACCAATGAACTCGATGGACTTGTCCAGCCAGGGCAGCAGCTTTTCACAGTAGTTGTCGTTGATGGGGATGCGCATGAAGCGGCTCTCGCAGATGAAGTCAGGCTTGGGGCAGGAGTTGCTGGCGTTCAGGACGTAGCTTATTCCGTTCTGGGTCATCAGGTCCTGGGGGAGGGAGGGCTCGTTGGAAGGGGCGGCAAGAAAGGAGAAGGGCCTGGCGCCAGGGAGCAGCGGGGGCTCCCCCCGCAGCCGGGAGGGACTTCAGAACCTTGGGGTGCTGTGCAGCCTGGCTCCTGGGGTCTCGGCTGTGTCCGAGGAGCTGGGCCCAGGAGCCCGCGGGGAAGCACGGCTGGCCTCCTCTGCCAGCCCCGCCCGCAGCCTGCACTGGGCTCCCAGGAATGTACAGTGGCCTGGGCGGTGGCTTCACCCTTTTCCGTCACCGGTTTTCAAACACGGGATTCTTTCAGAGCTGGCCAGGGGCCAGTGACATCAGCAGTATGGCATGTGGGGCCACCGCTTCTGACCCAGCCCTGCGGGGCTCCTCCCTGAAGCCCTGCTGTGGTCCTGGGGCTGGAGGCCTTGGTCCCCGCACCTCACCCACGCTCACCCCACACCCGGCCCTCCCCCGCCAGCCTGCAGCCCCCTTCCTCCCCCGGCTGTGCACACACCTTGTCCAGGACGTCCTTCTGAGAGCCCAGGTAGAGGTGAGGCAGGATGCGGGTCAGGCCCACGCTAGGGGCGGGCAGGCAGGGCTGGGAGAGGCTCACGGACAGCAGGGTGCCAGGCCGGCCCTCACAGAGGCCAGGGAAGCAGGAGGAGAACGTGGCAAAGCCCCCTGCGGAGAGGCAAAGACGGGAGTGTGGGCAGGAGAGAGGGCCTGGGGTGCCCCATCTACCGCTGTGGCCCAGCCACGCCCAGCCCTGCCAGCCCGGACCCAGGCAGGGCCAGGAGCGGGCAGAGCCTCTGGCCTGAGCGCCTGGCCTCCGGCCTGAGGCCCGCTCTCCCCACAGCAGGGGTGCGTGCTGCCGCCCTGAGCCTGCACCAATGCCCACGTCTTCCTCACGCAGACGAGGGGCTGACCCAGCTGAGGACAGGCCGGGGTGGCCAGCACAGCACGCGCGGGCCGGGCCGGGCCGAGCCTTCCTCCACCCCTCCCTGCCTACTGCTGGCCGGGCCCTGGCCCAGGCTTGGGTGCCAGCACCGGGAGACAAGGGCTTCTGCGGGGGCCCTCCCCCTGCCCCGGGCATGACATCACCCACGGGAACTGGCACGGGAACTGGCACGGCAGCAGGGCGTTTGCGGTTGGTCACAGCTCCACCCTGCCCAGCAGGGGAGGACAAGGAGCAGAGGAGCCCTGGTAGTGGGAGCTCGCCGCACGCTGGCGGGCACACGCCTGCCGCCTTCCACGCACATCCAGGTCCTGGGGCGCGGTGCGGGGAGAAGCCCCTCCGCCGAGTCCTGGCCTCACCTGACTCCGTGACTCTGGGCAGGGCTCGCCACGCCTCCCGCCTCAGTTTCCTGGTTCTGCCTGCCACGCGGCATTGTTGTGAGGCTCAGAGAAGACGATGACCGTGAGGACACAGTGAGAGTGGACCTGGCCACACCCGGCCCGACGGGGCTGATCCCGACTCAGACTAGGAACGGGGGACGCCCGCCTTGGTAGGGTGAGAACGGCTCGGCAAGCCCCAGGGCTGAGTGTGCCTCTGGGGACACAGCCCCCACAGCGGGTGGGCTACTGTTTCTGGGCCCCGTGGGCCCAACCAGCACCAGAGACAACTGGACACGGCCACCTTCTCCCACCAGAGGCAGCGAGGACGCTCAGTGGGTCTCAGGCCCAGGGTCCTGGCACTTCCCTGCCCTGGTCTGCAGAAGAGGCTGGTGCTTCCCGGAGACAGGAATCTGGGCTCCACCTTGATCCCTGGCCGGGCTCAGTGGCCAGTTCTGCAGATGCCCACCCAGAATGCCTGCGTGTCAGCTCCCAGGGCCTGAAGAGGGCATGACCGTGGGGGCCACAGAGATGGGGCACCTCCAGGTACTATCCCTGGAGGAGAAGCAGTCCCTTCCTGGGGAAGCTGCTGGCCTCACGGGGAGAAGCAGCTGACTGGGGTCGCCATCGTGCCACAGGGCACAGGTTCGCAGGCTGCCCTGAGAGCAGGCTGGGCAGGGGCTCCCGGATGTTTGCTGGGGGTCTGCGCCGTCTCTCCGTGGGCTGTGGTGTGCGCCTCCCGTCCTCCCCACCCGCGCCAGGGGTCTTTGCTCTGCTCGCTGCTCTTGGCGGGGCCTGGCCAGAGTGGTTGGGGGCGAAGGCCATCAGAACCCTCCCCAGCCCTGCCCACCTCCCGAAGGAGGGAAGGCAGGAGTGTCCCTGGACAGATGAGAGCCCTGACACCTTCTCAGCAGTCCCTCAGGGACGCTTCCCGGGACCCCCACGGAGCCAGGTAGCTTGGGTGCCCCTGCCCACTCTGCTATGGGTTCCGGCGATCCCGGGGCCACCCAGGCCCTGGGGTGGGTGACGGACTGAATGAGTGACCCTTTGTAGGTCCCGGCAGTCCTTGGGGCCTGGGGAGGCACCCCTCCCCCTGCATCCCCCAGGAGGCCCCCCAGGGGTCAGGGAGGGCACAGCGGCTCACCCACTACTCGCTGCGAAACCCAGAGCGCACAAAGGCGCGCACCCCGTCCCCCAATCAACATTTTCCTTCCTGTTCTCACGGGTTCGGGGCAGAGCCAGCCGAGAGCAGAGGCTGTGCCCACCCAGGGGTGGGGGGGCTTGTGGGCAAGGCAGGGAGGCCATCCTGCACGCGGGGTCCCGATTTGGTGCCCCTGTGAGCTTCCCGTACACCTGGGGGCCATGACTCCTCCCTGGCTTGGCCTTTGGAGAAATGGGGACACCTACTGTCCCTTCACAGGCTGGACACAGGCAGGAAGGCAGCCCAGAGGGCTCAGAGTCGAGCAGGGCACAGCCAGGTCACCCGTGAGCCCTCCTGGCGAATCCCAGGCCAGGCCTGCCCCACCAGGTGCTAGAGAGGACCCAGCCTCCCACGCTGTCCTAGCCTGGCCACCACGGAGACAGCCCCTTCAGCGCTCTGGCCTTTTCCCAGCGCAGCCCGGGGCTGGGAGGGTGCCACTGGGGGCCCTCTTAGATTCCCAGAGGGCCTCATGGCCCCATTCCTGACCAGGACAGCAAGCTGGGCCCCAGGAAGGTTCCAGCTATGCCCGGGGCACCTGCAAAAAGCCCAGAACTCTCCAGCCCTCCCTCCAAACGGAACCTGGAGGATGGAGGTTGGATCCAAGGGTGCCCCATTCTGAGGCCTCTGGTTCCAAGAGTGCACACATGCACACAAACCCCAAATCCCACCCAGCAGGCTCAGGGTCCCTGCAGACGCTGGAGGCGGGACACACGCACTCACAGGCAGATGCTGGCTGCCGGGCACCCCGTGACTGCGCCAGTCCAGAAACGGGGGACACTTGGCTCGTGCCCAGACACACGTGGAGAGAGGGTAGCCCATGTCCTGTACGCGACACTGAACCGCCACCCCCAAGCCTCCTAGGCACCCTCCAGGGCTGGGCACAGATGGCCAAGGCGGCTGGCACACCCTGTGGCCCCCTCCCAGGCTGGCTGAAGGTCCCTGCCCCCACAGGACGCTGGTGCTGGGGCCACCAGGCTGCCCACTTGCCCCCCGTGTCTGCAGGTGGCGGGGGCTCAGGGCGCTCTGTCGCTGGGGGGGGGAGTGGGGACCTCAGCCCTCCACACTCTCCCCTGCCCACCCCAGCCCCTGGTGCCCGGAGGCCTGGTGGCAGGGACATCAACAAAGACCCCTGTCCTGGGCCAGGGAGGGTCCGGCTCTAGGCCCTGGGCCCTCCAGGAGGTGGATTCTGCCGAAGCACCCTCAGCCACGGCCCCAGGAGGAAGGAACCGGAGTGTGTGTGAGTGTGCGTGGGGGAGGGGGTCCCCGCCTCCGGTTTGGGGGCTCAGGTATCCCTGAGGGGCCCTGCTAGACCCCAGGCAGCAGCCGTGAGCACTAGGCTGTTGCTAGGCAACCTGCGCTCAGCTGGGCTTTCAGGGATTTTGGGCGTGGGACCCCTCTGGGGCAGACTGAGGCTTCCAGAGGGTGGGGCTCTGCCTCCCCACCGACAGGGAGCTCTGCACATCTCTGCCTGGACGCCGGGCCTCTGGGGGCTTCCTCCTGTGCTGGGTGGGCCTGTATTGGAGGGGCCTGAGTATGGGGTCCCCAAGGAACCCAGAGGTACCAAGAGTCCCCCCGCCCAGGCTGACGGTGGCAGGGCGGGGCCTGGCACCCACCTGTGAGGATGGCCACGCTGTGGAAGCAGCCGTCCAGCTTGCTCAGCAGGATGGACAGGAAGCTGTCTGCGGCCAGCACGCTGGCGTCCCGGGTGCTCTGGTCGTAGACCACCACGTCCTGCGGCTCCGCAGCCTCCACCTGGGGGCCGCAAGGGTAGAGGTCAAGGTGAGCTCAGGGTCTGCTGGCCCCCGTCGGACACCGTGCCCCTGCCCTGCCCCAGCCTGCCCTCACTGGCCCAAGGGGAGGCCACACAGGGCCAGACGACGGTGGGGAAGGGGCAGCTGTCACCTGGCAGGGGCCTCCCCACACCTCACACTTTCCTCCTGCGGGGGTGGGGGACAGGTACAGCCGCCCACAGCCACCAGGCAGGTGCTGCTCTGTGCAGCCGCACCCCAGGCACTCTCACATGGCTGAGGGGATGGACACCGTGGCACCCCTGGGGGCCAGGGCTGTAGGGAGCAGACAAGGTGAGCATGACAGGGTCCCTGGGGCCTCTCCACCTGCCTGCCCAGGACGTGGCCTGGGCTGGCTCCCACATGTCGGAGCTCGAAGGCTCCCGCAGAGCCCGCACGGCTCTTCTTCCCTCCGCGGCCCCCAGGGACCCAGGAGGTCCCCCCACCCCTGCACCGATTCAGGGGCAGCAGCTGGAAGCTGGGTCGGTTCCTCCTGCCCTCCCCCCACCCCAGCCCAGCCTTCGGGCCAGATGTTGGGCGGCTTTTGCTCTGACAGCACGGGCGCCCCGCCCCCCAAGCACACTGGGCCCTTAAGCCAGCTGAGCTGCCAGCCCCGCGCTGGGTGATGTCACCGGCAGCCAATGGGACGGCACTCCAGCCAGGAGTCCTCGCTGGGGGTGATTAATCACCGGATTCCCCTCATTGCAGGCTGCAGGGAGCCGGTTCTGGCCTTGGGGTGGGCTCCCGACAGGCCAGCCCACCTGTCCTCTCCCGCCCTGGCTCTGAGCAGGCAGGTGTGTGACCGGCCTCCCCTGCAGCCTCCAGGCACGTTACCCCCCCCCCCCGCAGCTGGTCCGGCCTCTCCCCTGCATTCACAGCTCACTCCTCCCCGCAGTGTGCCTCTTTCTGAGCCTGGGCTGCTGGGGAAGGCGGTGGATGCGTCCCCGGGACCTGCCGTTGCGGAGGTGTCAGGAGACACGGCCCGGTCCGTTGAGCCAAGAGCCCGCAGCTGACGCGGTGCTGCGTGGTGAGCCTGGGCTGCTGGGGACACCGCCCCGGACTCCGTCCTGGCCCACCATGTGTGTGTGTGGGAGGAGCAGGCACGCCCAGACCTCGGTGCAGGAAGGGGCACGTGTGCAGAAAGAGGCAAGCTGGGGGGTGCCCCACAATGCCCGAGCTGTGACCCCAAGAAACCCAGTTGGGTCTCAAGAGCATAGAAAGGGGCTGCCCCACCCGGGGCCCAGCAGGAGGCAGTCGGCCCGGGTACCTGGCTGCGCACGGCCGGCTGGACGAGCTCCGCGATGGTCACCTTGCCCTGCTGCAGCCGCCGCTTCACCAGCTTGGAGCAGCAGATGTTGACGGAGCTGAGCACGTGCCAGCTGTTGTACTCCACGAAGGAGCGGCTGTCGATCACCAGCGGCCCCCCAGGCCCTCCCCGCAGCAGGCTGGCCAGCTTCTTGGCATCCATCACCTTCCTCGGGAGCCGGTCCCCAGCCATGGTGGGGTCCTGGGCAGTGCGGCGACCCCCGACACGAGGAGGGGCTGCTCCGACGGCCCGGGGCGTGGCCTTGCGCTCAGTGTCACCTAGCACATGGCGCCAGACCTATGGGAGAGGAGGACGTCAGCAGTGCTGCAGGCCCCAGAGCGCACCCGGCCAGCGCCCCTGCAGGGGCTGGGGCTGGGACCTGAGGCCACCAGAGTGTCTGGGCCCGACACGTGCCGAGGGGCCTTCTCCCTCGGAGGAACCAAAGTGTCAGCAAGTTGGAGGAGCCCGCGGGAGAGACCCGCTGCTGTTCCGCCGCTGCTGTCCACGCCACAGTGCCAGCTCCTGGTGGACACAGCGAGGCAGGGGAGGCCCACGGGGCACCCAGAGGGCACCTTCTCGGGGCTGGCCTGGTCCCTGGGCACATCACAGCCACGCATTCCAGAACACTCCATCCCAGCACTGGGGTGCATGCCTCTTCTGCGCTGGCCTCCTCATCTTCCCAACCACCAGGAGCCAAGGAGTCCAGGGGTCTAGAACTTTCCCCTCCCCTCCTGGCTCAACCCTGGGGAGCCCAATCCATGGAGATGAAGTTCCGGGCCGCTCTGTAAATGGATAATCCGGACTGAGGCAGATGTGGGTGCTTTCCAGAGGCGGGTGGACAGGCCGGCTGGGGGCTTGGGTGTGGGGGCTCCTTTGTTCCTGCCGTTGTCCTAGCTCTGCAGGCTGAGGTTTCGCGCCCTGCCAGCCCACTGCCCAAGGGTCTGGGGGCAAGGGCCCAGCCCCTGCAGGGGTACGTCTCACCCTCAGAGCAGGGTGGGGCCTCAGGCTCAGCACAGGCCTGGGGCCCGGCGGTCCCTCGGGGCCTGGAGTCCCAGGTTGGGTTGAGTGGGGGCAGCCCTAGGATGAAGGTCCACGTGTCTGGGACCCTCGGGGGTGCTGGTGTCCTCGGCGTAGCCTGCAAAGGCTTGGGGCACGGGGGTGCCGGGAGGTGTGGCTGGGGTCTGGGGACTCAGAAGCCCCTCCTGCGGCTCAGTGGCCAGCTTCTGCCACCCCGCCTGTCAGGCCCTGTCTCCTCTGCCACCTGCCAGGACTGGCCTTCCCCTAGGCCCACCCGAGACTCACAGACCCAAGAGGCACACAGCATCACAGTGACGAGTTTGTTTTAAATGTGGGGAAACTGAGGCTCAGGGCAGGGATGGGACCAGCACAAAGTCACACACAAGACTGGACAGGGCTCCTGGGTGTCCCCGCAAGGCCCTCCCCACCCAGCTCAGCGCTGGGGGAGGCCCCGAGGGCCACAGTGGCAAAGGCCCCTACACAGGCCCCCAATCTATAGCCACAGAGACGGAGGGCGCTGGGAGGAGGTGCCCTGATGACCCTTGCACTGCACAAACAGCAATGCTGGGGACAACAGTGCCACCACCCTGGGTCAGCCCCTAGGCTGGCGGAGCAGGGGCTGACGGACGGGTCCACAGAGCAGAAACCGGGGGCAGGGCTGAGACCCCCACCCCACGTGGGAGTCCTGGCCGCGGGCTCTCCTTTCCCCAGACACTGCTGGCTTGGCCCTGCCTGGCCCCTCCTTGTGGGCACATGGCATCTGTGCCCATTGTCCCCAGCACCCTGCTGTAGATGTCCCCCTCCTCCCCTCCTGGGGGTGGTGCGAAACCCCGGCCCCTGGAAGGGCAGCCGTAGGCCGAGGCAGCACAGCTGCCACCAAGGAGCCGTGACAGAACCTGGGACCCCATCGCAGACACCCCCCCCAGGCCTGGATGCCCATCTCCACCACGGGGGGACGAGGCCCAGGGGCGAGGCTAGGGAGGCCGCCCCTCGGGCCACACCAAGCAAGTTCAGCAGCAAAAGGGCCTGTCTGCGAAAGGGGGTCCCCGACCCAATTCCTGCACCGGCTGCTTTGGGCAGTTTTTCCTGAGTCCTAACCTGAATCTCAGGCAAGGTAGAGAGGGGAGGTCTGCCAGGTCCCGCTGGCCTGGGCAGAGCCTCCCATCCTTGGACGGAGGACCAAGAACCCAACTCCAAGGCCCAGGACCCCGAGGGCCGCAGCGAGGTGTGGACACCGCAGGCCAGGGGTCTGCCGGCGAAGCCTCAATGTCCGCCCTCAGTTAAGTGGGGGCGGGTCACCTGTCACCTAAAACAACGGAAGCAAACAGGTCTGCCAGCCACGGTGGGTGCTGGGGAGACCCTCAACCCCCTGCAGCCAGGCCTGGCGTTCAGGCTGCCCAGAGAGAAGCTGAGCAGGCTGAGGGTGGGCAGATGGGCCTGCACCTGGCCACGCCCCTGCCTCCCCGGCAACCCTCTCCGCTCCAGGAACCACCACAGCGTTGTCATTTGCAGCCAAAGGGGACTCGTTAGCAAGTTAGCACCTCCGACGTAGCCATGGCAACAGCAGAGGTGCCAGGCAACCGCTGCTCCTGCGGCAGCGGGCAGCGAGAGCAGGCTCCGCAGCGGAGTGGGCAGGTCGCCCTCCTCGAGCTCTCCCTCCCTGCCGCCCGCAGCAGCTGCCCAGGAGCGGGGCCAGCAGTGACCCCCAGCCGCCCTTCCTCCAGCCCCTCCCCCGCCCTGCCAGACCTGGTCCTGACCCTCCTCCCAGTCCCCCCCCCCGCCCCGCGTAGCTCAGGGGCCTCCCTCCCCCTCTGAATGAGCACCCCCCCTCCGCAGGAAGCCTCTGTCCGGTGCTGGCCTCTGGGGGCCCATCCTCAACCACTGGGTCTCCCGGACCTAAAGCTCCTGGGGGGCAGACCCCTCACCTCTGGCCTCCCCCCGTGCTATGGATTGGGCTGTCACTGGCAGGCTGGGGGTGGGCCGTGGGACACTCAAGACAGCCTTGAGCAGACCAGCTGGGCTGGCACAGGCCAGGTGGACACAGAGGAAACAAAAACGTGGATGCCACGGATCCAAGCCCTCCTCCCCAGCCTTGGTCCACACCCTGTTTGGGAGCCGGGTGGAGAATTCTACCCCCTGCTGTTCCGGAGCCTGAAGCCCGGCGAGCAAGGCCCAGGGAAGCCCAGGCACCCTCATCAAAGGGCCTGGAGCAGTTTCTGAGTCCAAAGTCAGAAGGAGGCTCCGCTCAGGCCCCGCCCCTCCTGGGAGCCGCCTTCCTCAGGGGCCAGGTACACAGCTGGCTGCGGTGCGCATGCACGCTGCTGTCTGTGCGTGCCGGCACACGCCCCTGTGCACACTGACTCCTTACCCACAATCCACCTCTCCTGTGTGCAATTACGCGTGAATGCATGTGCACAAATGTGTGCACCGGACACTGGGCGCATGCTGGAGCGTGCACACATGCACACACGCACATCCTCACCTTCTGCCTGCCAAATTCCTCTAGAATCCAGGACCCCTGCAGCCCGGCTGCCAGCTCCAGGGTCTCCACTCAGGGCCTCCATACAGCACATACGTGACCAGGGACAGCCCGAGTCCTGGGCCCACCCTCAGCCCCCAAATGACAGCACCCTCCCCAAGTCACCTTCTGCTCATCAACTAGGGCCAGACATGCTGCCTGCAGAGGCGGCAGTCAGGGTTGCCGGCCCCAAAGGACGGCACTGTCTCATCCAGGTGGTGCCCCAGCCCCTTGCACACGCAGGTGGCCCCGGGAAAGAAGCCAGCAGTGGAGGAGCCCGAGGTGCTGAGAAGTCGGGCCACTGCCACCCGGGACACACTCTGGAGGGCCGGGAGACAGACGGTGGCCGGCAACCTCTAGGAAGCAGGAGCCCTGTGCTCACACTGGTTGGCTCACTCCATCTTCACGCCCTCCCTGGGTGGGCTCCCACCTCAGCCCCCCGAGCTCAGCAGGGAGGACCCTGGCTGACCTTCAGTGTGCTCGGCTGGGCCCACAGCAAGGCCACGCAGAGCCAGCTCTGGCCTGGGGTGGGAAGAGAGGGGAGGGCGTGGAGGCCCACTCGGCTGCCAGGGATGGGGTCTGGGCTAAGCCCTGGACACTGACACTCTTCACATTTCCTGTGTTCCCACTTGGCCCGTGCCAGCCCCACTGATCTGCAGGGCTTCTGCTGGTCACTGTGCCCCACGGTACGTGCCAGGGCCAGCCGGGGCTTCCACGAGGATCGCCTGAGCACTCTGGGCAGTGGGGCCTCAGCCCACGCAGTCTCCGTGGCCAGGGTTTAGCCATCTCTCTCCCCGCTTTCTCTACGGGGGGCACACCTGGGCCTCCCCAGCCCCTGGCCAGTGCCCCTCCAGGCATGCGCCCGGTTGAAACTCCTGGGCCCTGATGCCAGCCTCCCGGGACACGGCCGACTCTAAGCATCTTTCTGCATCTCCGTTCATGGAATTTTGTTCCCAGAGGCAGCCCTTGGGCCCAGGAGCCTCTCCTAGGGCTGCGGGCAGGAGGGAATAGAACCTGCCCAGTGACTTTCCCCCAGCCCTAGGCTGACTGCAGCAGGAGATATTTCAGTGAGACTTCAGGATGAACTCCCAGCTCCCAGTCACATGATCTACCCATCCATGTCGGGTGCTTGCTAGGAGCGAATACATGGGACTGTCCTCCCGGTAAGGGGCCGGGGCCCCGGATGCTACATGCATCTCCTGGGCTGCCCTGGGAGCAAGAGTGTCTGAGGGCTGTCTGTGCTGGGAAGGAGGCAAGAGAGTGGGGGACTTGGACCCCCAGAGGCAGGGGCGCAGAGGAGGAAGAACGCGGCTTCCCTGGCCTTCAGCACCCCACCCCCAACCCAAGCCGCGCGACGCTGCAACACTGCAGACTCCGCTCCACATCCTGCCACCCCTCCTCCATCCGGGAGTCCCCCGGCCCCTCACTGCAGCACCTCGGCCGCCTCCCCCCACGGAACCGGGACACCCTGCAGCAGGGAGTCAGGGGGCAAGTTCTCCCAGAAGGGATGACCTGGGGGGCCGGGCCTATTGTTGCCCCCTCCAGGCTAGACTATTAGGTACCCCCCACCTGGCGTGCTCGCCATCCCAGGTGGGCAGATAGGCCTGGGAGGAGGGGCGCAGGCAGCCTGGCTGTGCCAGCCCCTCCCCCAGCATCGGGCTGCCTCCGCAGCAGGCAGAGGGATGGCCTTTATTCCGCGGGGCCGGCTGAGCACCCCGGGGTGGGGGTGCCAGGGGGCCCGGCCCGACGGAGGATGGATCTGCAGCCTCCGCTTTCCTGGGCCTCCCACGGGCCAAAGGCCGTGCCTCCCGTCTCCCCGACCGGCTCAGTGCCAGGGACGACCTTCTCCGGCTCCGGCCCCATCGAGGGTGCTGCAGGGGGTGTCTGGGGCTCGGGAGGATCCAGGCTGGATCTCGGTGGCCCTTCCGGGTCCCTGATTTTTGTCCTCCGCCCCCACACGAAGCAATTGCGGGGAGAAGGCTGCACAGCGGCCCCCGGGTGTGGGCTGCACCGGGTCCGCCGGGCGCTGCGGGAGGGAAAGGGCTTCCCCGGCCCGGCGTCCCAGGAGCCCG